TACACCACTAGTAGGAGTACAAGAATGTGAACACAGACAATCAGCTCAATCTTCCAATGGAGTCATCCTGTAACCTTGGTCACTGGTTGCTTTACCTCCAACCTGCAGTCTGCCCCAGGAGAGCCTCTTTAGGCTTCTGTGTTCACATTGGTAACATGATGCAACTGGGCAGGATAATCCCAAGTCCTTTGCACCACTAAACTGACATGATCGCTTGGCTTTCATTGACCGTCACTATGTTGTTGTCATTGTAGGTGCCGTCAAGTTGGTTCTAACTCATGGATAACCCTAGGTAAAAGAGAGAAACTGCCCAGTACAGACAGTTCTGTGCATCCCACCATCATTGGCGTACGAGTTCCTAATTGCAGCCACGTAGCCAATCCGTCCTGTAGAAGGTCTCCCGAGCATGACGTCCTTCTCTAGATCTAAAGGTGTGAGATAAAGTCTTACCATCCTCATTTCGACAGAGCATTCTGACTATACTTCTTCCAAGACGGAGCCATTCATTGTTCTGGCAACACTTGACATCTTCTTTGCCAACACCATCATTTAAAGGCATCAATTCTTCTTCGGCCTTCCTTATCCGTTTTCCAGCTTCAATATGCAAATGAGGCACTGGAAACACCAAGGATTGGGTCAGGTGCATCTTAGTCCTGAACATAGCATCTGTGTATATTGTTGTTGTTGTTAGGTGCTGTCCAGTAGGGTCCAATTCATAGCTACTCACAACAAAGCAAACCTACTGCCCAGACCTGTGCCATCTTCGCAAGTGCCGTTAGGTTTGAGCCCACTGTTGGCAGCCACTGTCAATGCTTTTCAATGCAGGTCTTCCTCTCAGAGGGTCCTCCGCTTTGCGAAGCAGGGCGTTCTTTGGCAGGGATTGGTCCCTCCTGGTAGCATGCCCAAAGTACAAGAAATGAAATTTCGCCATCTTCGCGTCTACACAGGACTTTGGCTGTACTTCTTCCAAGAAAGACTGTTCTATTCTTACAGAAGTCCGTGCTATTTTGAATATCCTTTGTCATCACCATAATTCAAATACGTCATTTCTCTTTTGGTCTTCTTTATTCATTGTACAGTATTCACACTGTACAGTATAGCTGAAAATACTCTGGCTAGTGTCAGTCAAAAGAGCCCTGGTGGTGCATTGATGGTACATTGGGGTACTCACCCCAAGGTCAGCAGTTCAAAATCACCAGCCACTCATGGGCGAAAGATGGAGCTTTCTACTCCTGTTAAGAGTTAAAACCTTGGAAACCCACGGAGGCAGTCCTACCCTGCCCTATAGGGTAGCTAAGAGCAGAATTCACTTGATGGCACTGAGTGTGGGGTGAGCGTGTCAGGCACCTCTTAGTCCTCATCGCAACGTCCCTGCTCTTCCACACGTTAAAGAGGCCGCGCGGCACTAGATCTGCAACATGTCATTTGACTTCCAGGAGCCTTGATTTTGGACCCAAGCAAAAGGAAACCTGTGACAACTTCAATTTTCCCTCCATTGATACTGTCTATTGGTTCACTTTTAGGGAGTTTTAATTTCATTATGTTCTTCCCCTTTTGTTTTCTAACACCAGGTCTCTGCATATTTCATTGCAATACTTTGCCTTTTCAAGCTGCCCTTTTAAACCTTCTATTCACATTTTCACTCGATCATTTCTCCAGTTCACTGTAGCTATTCTACATTCAAAAGCAAGTTCAAGAGTCTCTTCTGATAATCCATCTTGT